CTGCACGGGGAGAACATGCAAACTCCACACAGAAAGATCCCAGTGTCCCCACCGGGACGTGAACCGGCTACTTTTTTGCTGCGAGGCAACAATGCTAACCACCGAGCCACCTCGCAGACCCCTATTTGACATACTTATAAGAGGCCATTTCATGTCATAAGCAGCATTGCACATGCAAAGGCCTAGAGTGGTTTCCTGCTTACATTTAAGTCGTAGCACAACTCAGAAGTTGTCAGCTCTCACATAATGCCTAAAACAAAAGAATTATGTGAACCCTTAAAGGCAGACATCTTGGCACTGCTGGGAATTGGCATGAGTGAGAGACAGGTAGTGAAAAAACTGAAGATCTCCAAGACAGCCGTTCATTACACCAAGAAAAAACAAGTCCAACGTGGTGCTACTAAATTGCTCGCTGGTTGCGGCAGTAAACGTCTTTCTAACCCATGAGATGACCGTGTACTCATCCATTCCTGTGTCAGGAACCGTCGTCAGACCTCCAGGTACCTCAAAAATGAGTGGGCACTGTGGAGAAATGTGACTTGTTCGGCAAGGACAGTTCAAAACCCACTTCTTGAAGCTGGTCTGAAGTCACACGAGACACAGAAGATTGGACTGCTGATGATTGGGCTAAGGTTCTCTTCAGTGATGAATCTCATTTTGCCCACTCCAGCCAACTTACTGGTTAGGATGAAGCCTGGAGAAGCCTATAAACCTGACTGTCTTGCCCCTACAGTAAAACATGGGGGTGGATCAATGACGATCTGGGCTTGTTTCAATATGGGTGGAACTGGGCAAATGCAATTGTGTGAAGGCCGAATGAACCAGGTCATGTACAGGGCTACTCTCAAAAACAGTCTTCTTCCATCAGCTGGAAAACTCTTTCCTCCCTGGAATGACTGGATTTTCCAACAACACAATGCCCCTTATCACATGGCAAGGTCAGTTAAAGCCTGGATGGAGAACCAGAACATTGGAACCATGCCGTGGCCTGCTCAATCACCAGATCTAAAACCAACTGAAAACCTGTGGAAAATCATCAAACGCAAAATGGAGAACCACAAGCCCAAAAAAAGCAGCAAATCTGTTTGAATTTGTGCAACAGGAATGAACTGCTGTGACAGCAGAACAATGTCAGAAGCTGGTGGAGAACATGCCAAGATGCATGGATGCAGTCATCAAAAACAATGGTTATGCAACCAAGGACTAACTCCTGTGTGTATCATGTGACTAAAACAGACAAAAGAAAATACGGAATGTCTAAAAGCACTGTTTTGGCAGTACAATGCCATAGCTACTGATATAAGAACTGAAGTGATTTTGGTCATTATCAAGAAAACCATGGAAAATGAATAGATATCAGCTCTTACATTAAACTCTTTTGAGCTGTTTTTCCATGACTGTACATGCAGAAATGCAGAGGTTTTTTTTTTCTTAAGTTTGTGGACACCCACACCCTACCCACATGAATTAATGCAGATAGTTTCAAAACTTTGGGCATAGGCATGGCAGCAATAAAAATCTGTGCCTTAAATTTCAAGGTAATGTCATGCAAACATTAAAAGTCACACATGACTTGTTTTCATGTTTTATGACATATTTTTCTACTCATGTTTATATTTTTAGGTCATATATTTTCCCCCTTCTGTTTATATTTTAGTTCATATTTTGTACTTATGGTTATATATTTTTGTATTGTTCATATTTGACTTGAAATGGGAGCAAATGTACTTTAAGCAATTTCCCCTCAGGGATCAATGAATTATTTCTGCATCTGATTCTGATTTTGGACATACAGAGTTTCACTGGACATTAGGGGTATGAATAAATGTAATCGGAAAAACACCTGAAGCAGTTAAGACAACTGTACTGGAGTGAAAAGAAGCCCATTTTGCATATTTTCTATTTAGCAAATTACGATTTTTGTCTTCTAAACTTCTCACATGGTTTCCTTTTAATAAATGCACAAATGATCCAATATCTCAGCAAAAAAATTAGACAAAAACTGAAAACAGATTTGTGTATCAGAACTTTGTTTGTTCTTCTTTTCTTTCCTCCATTAGTCGTATTTGGAGACCTCAGATTGATCTGTTGTCTTTGTATATGAAACCGGATCTAAAGTGGTTTGAAATCGCTCAAATTTTATTTGGCAGAAAGTGTTTTTTTTTTCTTTCTCTAAACTCATTTCAATAAATGTTCAAATGATTCAATATCTCACCAAAAATAAAAGATTAGAGAAAAACAGAGAGCAGATTTGTGTATCAGAACTTCCTTTCCTCTCCCATTAATCATGTTTGGATCCTCAGATTTATCTTGTGTCTCTGTATATAAAACTGTAAATAAAGTGGTTCAAACTGCATCAGCTCCAACAATAACATGCTGCAGACATACTGATGCTTGACAAATAATTATTAACTAATGTCAAATATATGAACATATCAGTCAGAGAGATCAATCCATCATCTATACACCACTTTATCCTCACTAAGGTCGTGGGAGGGCTGGAGTCTATCCCAGCTGCCTCTGGACGAAGGCAGGGGACACCCTGGACAGGTCACCAGTCTATCACAGGGCTACACTTAGAGACAGACAACCAAGCACACTCACATTCACACCTACAGACAATTTAGAATCACTAATTAACCTCAACATGTTTTTGGACTTGTGGGAGGAAGCTGGAGAACCTGGAGAGAACCCACACTGCGCTGGGAGAACATGCAAACTCCACGCAGAACGATCCCGCTGTCCTTACCAGGATGTGAACCGGCGACCTTCTTGCTGCGAGGCGACGGTGCTAATCACCGAACATAGGATTTTTCATGCAGGACTCCTACTTGCAATGGAGTATTTTCTACAATGCCATACTGGTAACTTTCCTGAAGTAAAGGATATGAATGCATCTTCCAGCACTGCAGGAGGCTACACAAGGGTATGAAAAATTGTGCTTTGAAAAGTAACTAAAGCTGTCAGATAAACATAGTGGAGTAAAAAGGCATATATTTGCCATAGGGATGTAGTACAGTAGAAGGAACATGTCTGCAGATTGAGGACTTACTTTGAGGCTGTCCAGCATGTAGCGTTCTCCCTGATTCTTGGAAGCAAACACATTGAGAACTGTGCGCTCTGTGATCTCTCCAGGCTGCTTCATTTGGGCCGGACAACGCTGCAGAGAAATAACAAACCATCACAGGCAAGAAATCAAAGAAAATGCGGAAGAGAAAAAAAAAATCACAATATGCAGAAGTGAGCACCATTCTGGATGCAAACTAAGATGCACACACCTGGTGAGAGAGACAAAAAGACCAACAAATAAGAGATAAATACGCTGAATGAAGAGACACAGTGAAGAAACGATGTGTCATTAAGGATGGTGTTATTTGCCATTGAATGATGGACTTGTGGTCAACCTTTCGGGCTGACATTTAATAAAAAGCATCAGAGCAAACAAAATTACTAGACTGAAAAGACACACACAACCACACACACACACAAACACACACACACACACACACACACACACACACAGACATGATTGAGGCTTGGCTGTCTTTCAACATGAATTAGGCTTCAGTCAGTAACTGGAGGAGAAAGCCAGGATGCTTGAGGGAGACTGTAGGCTGCAGGAGTCCTGTCACAGTGAATGAGGTCTCAATGAAGGGAGGGATGGTGGGAGAAAGACGGAAAGAAGCCACCCAGCCAGAAAGAGACGCAACACAAGCCTTCAGGTTTGGAAAAAAACATCTATGAATGTAAAACATGGTGGCTGGCACAACTGAAAGAACCCAATGTCTCTTATGTAACTTTTGCTGTCTAGAATGCTCCTCTCTTCATTCTGAAGTATTCAAGGATTTCCATACCCTCTCCCTCCTCCTTTCTCTACTCCAGCGGCTCATGGCTTTTAAAACATTTTCAGCGGCTCCTATCCACACTGTAAAAACGAAAACCTGTGATTGTTCATCTCACTAAACTTTTCCATTTATCTGACTCAGAAATAAAGCTTTGCGGGTGCCCCTATAGCTCACCTAGTTGAGCGGGCAACCTATGAACAGGGGATATTTTACTTGTTAACCCTCATGTTCACAACCATGTTTCCCATGAATAAACAGCTGTTTCAGGTAACTTTCAGCTGTTGTTATTCTAACTTAGAATTGTATGTTAATTCAACAAGAAAATGTCTCTTTGTACATGACAGACATACATGTCATAAAAAAGAATTTCATTGTCAGCCTTACAGGAATATTATCATTAGGTGAACAAGAAGATCCAAGTTAGATGATGTCACATATTGTCAATAGGTGAACAAGAAGATCCAAGTTGGCAGAACTCAAATATTGTCAGTAGAAGAACAAGAAGATCCAAGTTACATGAACTCTTGTCTGAACTCAAAAACTGTAGTAAGGTTAACAATGGTAGACAAAAGTTGAGAAAACCCAAAAATCTGTTGCATCATGTTGCCTTGATATTTTGTGTTTTCTTAGCCTCTTCTTTTTTACAGTTCAAGTGCCTTACCTTCGGTAGTTTGCTGCGACGTAAGAATTTGGGCACAGCATCTCTCCCGGAGTTTGAGTCGATCACCTCCTGGATCTCGATGGTGTCGTCAGCCAGGAAGTAGTGCAGTACGAGCTCATGAAGGTCCCCGAAGCTGTTCTCTGTGTCATCCCAGAAGCAGTAGAAGCGCAGGACTTTGCCGTCATGATCCAGGAACTGCTTCAGTGTGTCACGTCTCTCGTAGGGCCGAAGTGGTTTCATACTTTTCTCAAGCTGAAAGAGAGAAATAAGAAGATCATGTTCTTTCATATGGATAGAAGAGCTGCTCACAACCATTTCAACACTCTGAAACCCCAAACCAGTGTGAAAGGCAGGTTGCATTTAAAAAATCAGCAAAATGACGCCATATATATCAGAGCGGCAAACTCTCAAAAAAGGAGAGAACTGTCAGGTTTTTAATTTTTCTGTGATGTCCAGTCCTTTCAGAAAATTAACCAAACCTTGGCTTAAAATCACAATGTTTCATCAAAAAGACTTTTCTGACATCTCATTCAAAAATTTGCCAGAAAAAAAGAGTTTGCATTAAACAGATTTGATTAAAAACAAAAAATGGTGCCCTCTTTGGTGTAAAGGAGAAGAAATTAGTGAATCAGCTACAACCAAATGTCATGGGACAAAAAAACATTGCAGCCATTGCAGTGTGCAGTTTGATTTTTTGGCTGAACTGCAGGCTGTGTTGACAGAGAGCAGATAGGAGACAAGTGAGGAAACAAATTACAGTAGTGAAGTATCTATAGCATGGAGAGACACCATGTTTTAAGAAATTCAATCTTTGTTTTCTCTTTTTTGATGCTTTGTGGCAGTACAACTGTGGCAAACTGCACAAAAGACGTTTTTTAAATTCCCTTCAAGCCATTGTTGCTTTGTTTCCATTGAGATTCAAGATGTTTTATTGCAGTGAAAAGCGAGTCCACAGTGAGTAAGAATGTGAATGGAACAAAAAGCACTCAGAAGCTGCCTGGGGTTTAGAAGTTATATTTCCTGTATTCTGGCAAATCTGGTGCCTGGGTTGCATCAATTTATGGCAAAAAAAAAAAAAAAAATCTTTATTTATGTAAAGACAAACACAAATTACAAATACAAATATGATATATTTGGATCTAATTAGGTCTGCCACTATAGAATCAGTGGTTGTATGAACTCATAATTAATATTTTGAGAGTAAAAAGAGCCATAGCTGAAGAGAAAAAAAAAATGTGTATGAGAATAGCTTGTGTTCCTTTTTTTTCTTCAGTTAATAACATCAGTACTTTTAACACAATAGGTTGCTTAAACCATGATTTTGAAGGAAATATGTCAGAGACCAGTTATGAACCAGATATCTGACAAAGTGAAAAAAACAGATTTACTGTGAAAATACTTTTGCTGTACATGCTGCCGCGTTATCTTATCATTGTTTGGACTAGTATATTCTTTTTTCTTGTTCTTGGTGATATTCTTGTTTTTCTATTTTGTTGCAATATTTGATTCTGCCCACAGAGCATACAAATCTGAATGCCAAAGCAGTGGTCTGACTGTGAAGCCTACCTGCTCCCGGAGGCTGCCGTAGGGGTCCTCAGGTACACTAACGGGCTCATTTAAGATCACCCCGAGTTTTGTTAGAAAGTTCCTTGTGAAAGAGTCACAGTTAGTCACAATGAATGTGCGAGAGTACAGCACCATCTGTTGGTTGATGTTAAAATGGTAAATGTTGTAGAACTGGTCGTCGTTTGGGGGAGGCAGTGGGATCCGGTGGCGACGAATGAGAGTTCCTGAAACATGGATCACAAACATAGCAGTGGTAAGCAACAGGTATGAAATAGCTCATGACATCTCAGTAAGCTGTTTATGCAGAAAGGTACATGAAAAACTAAATATTTTAATTTGAGCTACACTCCCAAGAGAGTTTAGACACCTTGAGGGATGCCACAGTTTTTGAATTCCGGCTCCACCACTTGTATGGTGTCATCTTCCAGGTAGAAGTAGATTTTGCACTTCCTGATTCTGTAAGACTCGTTTTGTGCCTCAGACACAGTCTCCTGAAAGTAAGCTTCAAAACACAGAGCCTACAAGGACAAGGAGGCATTTTGGTGTTAATGCTGGAGCAGCGTGGTTTTCAACTTAACCAATCACTAGCATAATCTGTTCTATGTCTTGTATTGTACTGTATTAATAGGTGTAATAATAAATGTAGGTAACACATACACACACACACACACACACACACACCCATATGCTTATGCATAACATGACATAGGTTCAAATCTTTTTATTCCTTACTATTTAAGACTTTTTAAATTTCTAAAACAATGTTTTTCTTAATCAACCTATTGTTACTGCGCAGCCTTTGCTTTCACTGCCTGTACTGTATAAGCATGTGACAAAAAAAACACCTCTTGAATCTAAAGTGAACACAAAATATAAGCTGTATTGCATGTATCATTTGAACTTTTACAGTATGTGTGTATTACTGGGGAGGTAGAACTGATTCATTTTAACTCACCTTTTTGTCAAAGGTTACCCATAAAGGCAAACCACTGCCCTGTACTTTGGGATACACAGAATGTTTGGTTTTTTTCTTCTGGCCCACTAGAAGCTCTCCTCCGATGCCCGGCTTCTCAGAACTGACCAGCATAGGGACTCCGTTGGAATAGTCGAAATGTTGAGATTTGTGGAATCTCTCTTTCCCCAGCTTTGGAACAAAAGGCAGAAATGATCTCTGAGTAGTTTCTATCAATGGCGTGCTGTCAAGGATTTTCTACAGAGTACAATAAGCACCTATACTCCTGTATAATCATGTCTAAATATGAATAAATATTGATTGAAAAACGAATGCAACTACGGTACTAAAGTACAATTTCTAAAAATATATAAGTAAAGTACACAACATGTGGCTCTTACAGTTGGAAAGCCTTATTGATTGGTTTACTTGTACCTCTTGAACCAAACACTTCATTAGGACTTTTTTTTTGCACCACAGATATTTTGGCTATTGCTTCAGTAGATCTCTGTATTATTATTACTAAGAAAAGAAGTCATTAGAGCAGTTATTAATTAATCTGTGTTATTTTTAAACAAACCAACATTATCATTTAGTTTAGAAATTGACAGAAAACTATGAAATATGTTCACTCCAACTACCCTAAGATAAAGTCTACTAATTGATTGGTTTATCTGGCCAACCAGTAGGTGGAAAGTAACTGAATACACTTACTCAGCTACTGTCATTAAGTATAAATTTGGAATACTTGTACTTCATTTCCATTTTCGGCTACATTATACTTCCACTACACTCCACAACACAGGGCTCTAGACTTACTTTTTCACTGGTAGCACCGGTGCTGCCAACTTTCTTGTTTGGTCGCACCTCCCACCTTGTCACAGGCAAAACGTATGACTTGTTGAGAATCTGGGTCGATAGACCCTACAATTTACCCATGTTCGCCCCACGTTGCTGGCTGTGGTGGCTGCTGCTTGGTGGCTGCAGGCGTGTGACCGAAAAATACTTTGAAAATAGTTCAACTGGGGCGTTCTAGTGTCAGATCTGTCCGAGATGAAACCGCGTGTTTTTAATGTTTTTTTCTTCTTCTTCTTTTGGTACAATGTGGAGCGCATCTACACGCTCGTAGAAAACTGTGAATGCAGGTGCGCTCCACATTTCTAAATGAAAATACCACAGTCCACCGAAGTTATAAAAAGTTCTGCTTCCACCACTGTGGTGAACACAGTAGCTGCCTGCGCCGGTTACAGCGACACTAATACAGCTTCATGATCATCAATCACTCGCACGAATGCAACCAGTTGAAATTTCAACTCGCACACTCAAAAAATAGTCGCAAATGCGACCAGAATGGTCGCAGTCTGGAGCCCTGCTTCATCTGCCTGACAGCTTTGGTTACTTTACAGAAAAAGATTTTACACAATGGACAATATAACAAAGTTTTAAAGTACAACACATAACCAAAGATTAAACAAGTGGTCTACAACTTTTCTGGGTTCTGACATCATACAAAAGGAGTATGTAGTATTTTTGCTTTTCTATATTACTACATTTTGCCGCTAATACTCGTGTACTTTTACTTATGTAGGATATTTAAATCAAAACTTTTACTTATAATTAGGTATTTTTTACTTTGCTGTATTGGTACTTTAAATAAGTAAAGGACCTGGATAATTCTTCACACATATCTTCTAAGTCAGAAAGCCCACCAGGCAGGCACCTATGTAGTCTTTAGAAAATGATTGACTGCTGCCTGTTATCAAAATGACACACAATAAAGGTTATTCAAGTAGCATTAGCCTACAAAGTCATATATAGCTTCTTGGGATACATTTTTATTTATCTTTCAGTATTACAAAGCCCATAAAAACTAATAAAAGCATGAAAGGGCTTAGCTTATCTTCTCAACAACCTAAACCTCTGATTACAAGTTGCTTTATGACTTAGCTGCTCACCACTAACGTTTATCTGTGACAACTTGTACCTAGCTAAAATGCTACACATAGCTAAACTTGCTGGCTAAACTCAATACATTTGCGCTTAACATGTATCAAATGTGGTAAACTTACTCGTGTGTTGGGAGAATTTCCTGGCAGAAATGGTAACGCCATGGCGGCAATGTTTTATCTATTATTTTCTATCACAGACTCAGCTGCTAAGTTTCAACGTCTGTTATTGGTTACCATGGAAGCCAGTTGTGGGGACCATCACTTAGCAACGGTCGAAACAGGAAGAACCAATAAAATAGTATGTCAGTGGAGAAGTTCAGATTACTTTAATAAAACAACTGGTCGTTTTTATTTATTGTTTTCAAACAAGAGTCCGGAAAAATATGCTTTAAATTATTATTTTTTTAACGTAATTTTACGTGCAAACTATTAAAAATTAAAAAATAAAATAAAATAAAAAAGGAAGAAATAAAGGACTTTAGTAAAAGAGTAAAGAGTAAAAACACCAGTCATGGAAAGTGATTCAGTGCATTTACCATTTTGATATAGTTTACTTAATTTCATTTTGTGCTCTTCTATACCTTCACTCCACTACATTTTTTAAGAAAATTATATAATACTAAAAATCTATCAGTCAGAGGGATCAAACCAGGGCTACATGTTGCTGATACTTGTCTACTTTTACTTAAGTACAATTTTTCATTCTTGCAATGAAGAATTCTTACTTTGCAGAGATATGTTCTCATTCGTAGCCAGCTGCAATTAAATAAGAAGGATTTTTACAATGAATTTTCAAAAATTTGCAAAGCAATACACATATTTTGACATAACTAATTTTGGAATTAAGGATTGTTATTACCCATTAAAGTGTCTGTTACATTGCTCATTTCTGCATACAGAAACATGACCGTTTTCAACAACAAACTGTACTTTTTATTAACTTTATGGCTTGTAGCTTTGGCAGTGAAGTTGTCCTGAAAGCTCATTAGAAGTGTAGCTACCTCTAATGAGCTTTCAGGACAATTTCACTGTCAGAGTTGGTGATAAAATCTAGCAAAAACAACACATTAATACTGGTTTCCTTATTTTTATTTACTTACATAGTAGACAAACCACAGTCTTCAGTACATGAGGTACCTTCATTGCTAAACAAGACACATTACAAAAAAAAAACAAAAAAAAACAGAGATGCAGGGGAAGGCTGATATGACTATCAAACATTTAACACCTCTTTAAAAGGCATAACAATTCCATATTTATCAGCACTTAATACATTTCAAGTTTACACTCTGAAAACATTTGATTCTGACGACTGGAATTTAAAATATAGAACAGTGGCATTGACAGAATCCTCAAGGCACCTCCTGCCATGTGAAGGTGAATTTATTTGCCCAATTATTACCTGAATTGAGCACAAAATCAGTGCATGATCTCTCCATCTGGAGCAATATAGAGTTGGTAAAAAATAAATAAACACAAAATAGTAACACTCTGATGATCTGGGTGTTTTCTTTACATTAATTTTGCATGATATGTATTCTTTATTTGGCCTGCAAAGTGGAGTGTTTTAAGAGGGCATCTCTGGTTTAAGTCCCACTTCCATATCGACTGTGTGATTGTCATGTAGAAGTACAGTATCATAGACAGAAGGATGTGCAGCTTATGTAGAATCATACAGCTACAAGCTAAACTGAAATTGGTTGCTTGCTTTCAAAACACTTAAAACCCCTCCAGCAATGACTTATCATTTTTCTCTATAGTTTCTCATGATGGTCAAGAAACACGTCTCCTTTGGCAGACCCTAAGACGCCAGGCCGAGCAGGAATCCTCCGATGAAGCCGCTTGTGACAACGATGTTTTTCTTCACAAACTCTGTGGACTAAATAAGACAGGACCATTTTCAGTGTACAAAGTGGTTACGGCTAATTCCAGGCCAGTGTTATTCCACAATCAAATGCACTACAGTGGACTTAACCTTCAAAGTTATTAAGCTTTTCTCAGAATAAATAATAAACCTCACGTAACAATACTGAAATATTGTAAGCAGGGGAGACCGAGGATGGTTATAACACTCTCAGTTTGAGCAATCAGAAACAAGCTGTGGTGATGTCATCAATACAGTCCATGCCCACTTATAAATTGAGCTCACTGGTGAAGCTTCATGTCTCCGAGTTGAAAACTGTCTGTTCTGGGGCCAAAAAATAATTTTTCTGGTAAGAAAGTAAATTTTTTACATAGTGTCCATTGTGTTGTAGATACAATTGTTTCACTTACATAAGCTCAAGTAGTAGTTTCTCTAGTTTAATTTGATGTGTTGCATTAGTGCTAGCTTTGAAGCTAAACGCTAAAAATGGTTAGCTTTTTAATGGCTGCCTGGCATGGGGAGGGTTCTAACTGTTCTTTAACAGTGTTACGACTTTCCCCTTTTGTTGACATTTTGTACTGAGGGGTATACCACGACGCCAGTTCGACATAGCCGGGCTTTCGTTGTGTATGCCGGCCTGACAAAAACTAAAGCCCCAGCCAGAGATTACGTGTATCACGAAGGTGGTTATCAACTTTCTTTGTCAACTCAGACTTCCTGCTTCAGACTCTGTGCGTGTTCACATAAAAAGGGACGTTTAACGTGTCACGTGACTCTTCTTCTGCACGAAATGAAACGATCGTGTGCAGCTGCTTCAGTCAACACGTTTTAAGGAAGAACAATGAGGAATATATAAAAATTTTGACGGTAAAAAGTGCCGCTACTGCAAATGGTACAAGACAGAAATGCTGGTAGAAAACTCTTAAACGTGTTAATATACAAGATTTTACTGATGCAGACGTTTATTTCCAACTGACAGCTGTACGTGAAAGTTAAACTTTAAACTTCATATATTTAAACATGATCTTGTGTTGAAGGTCATTTAGGTCTGACACTGTCCCATAATGCAGGATATCACTTACATTTTTGGCCAAATGAAAGCAAAACTAATGTTATTGATTGAATATTCTCTGTAATAAATACCAGTGTAATAATCCATTTTCTAACCTGGGCTTTATCAGCTGCTGTACCAGCAGAGTAAATGGACTTGACAGCAAATCAGAGCCAAACATAAAACCGTATTTATGTGATTTCTGCATCATCCACTAAATACATGTCGGGTTCCCATGGCAACCCGATATTTACAGTGTATGACACTGTAACTACACGGCTTCATTCAGTGATATTAGTAACGCACAATTCAGCATGTTTGCAGATAAAACACATTCCCTCAGCTGAGAATCTGTATCGCTCATAAATAATAGTCAGTAAACGATCTGGTTAAAGAGAGACGCTCTTTCCAGCAGATTTAAATCCGAAATTCTGAACATAACCTGCTCCAGACCAGGTTAGCTCCACAGCATAAGTTACCATGGAGATGGAGCCAGGTAAAAAGAGAGCCACCTTCATGGCACTGAAAACTCTGACTTTACATACCTGGCAAACCCACTAATCTTGCTTCGTAGCACAGCGCTAAGGTCTCACGTTCAAAAGTGGTTTGTTAATTGTTCCACTGACCTCCAAGTGTTCAAATGCTTTTTCACATTAACCTGTTTCAGGCTACAAAACACAACACCAGTTTATTCTTTATGATTTTATTGTATTTATTTTTATTGTATTTAACTTATACTTTGTATGTACTTTATTATTATTATTATTATTATTATTATTATTATTATAGTCTTACAAGTTTATGGTTCCTTCTTTATTATTCATTAAAGTGCTTACATACATTTATTAGTGTGGATCTTTTTTAAGCATAATAACTTGCTTAATACATCCATCCTCAAGTACTGTTACAACTCACCCCGGTACTGGTGTAGGTTGTAAGAACATGCCTCTTTGTATTTTACATGACTTTACATAACCTGTGATGGTGTCGTAGAAGTCCAGGTGTATGTCATTTAAAGCAGACAAATATGGGTACCACATGTCAAAATTTGAGATCTCTACCACAGAGAACCACTGAGTTACACTTGCTCAAACAAGAAGTGTTCCTATCATCCCCGGTCTCCATTATCTCAGTTTGCTGATTCTTAGTATAAATAGGTGGAGCCTGTAAACATGAAGCCAAATCTGAAGTAAACAGAAGATGCCCTAAAAAAAAGAACACATCTTTGACAAGCTTATTGAAATTACTCTGAAACTTTAGTTTAGTTTGAGGGTGGGTAGAGACATTCTATAGTCTAACTGCTGCTGAAGTAATGAAGTTGTTTTTAGAGATTCTTCTTTTTGGCATTAGTTTTTATTTTTTTTTTAAATAGAATGTAGACAAAAAACATAGAACGTGGGGAAAGAGAAAGGGGAGAGACATGCAATAAACGTCTCAAAGTCAGGAACGCTACGGGGCACTTACATGGTATGTAAGAGTTTCTCCCCTGGATAAGGCTACTCTACTCTAATTACACAACTGCAGTGACAACACATGCACAATAATCACAATATTTTACTCTCAAACGGGGATGTCCACTGTCACCGCTTCTCTTCCCAACTGCCATCAAGAACTTTGTTAAAATGAACAAAAAAAAATAAAGGACCATACAACAATACATGAGTTTTAGCAAAGGAGACAAAGCAAATAATGATGGTTTAAGGACTCCTCTCTAATATCCACTCATGCCCCCATTTTATTTTCTTATATTTTCAATTATGTCTATTTTTAGAGTCTGGTATTACACAGTCTGTGTCTTCAGTGTCATTATCACATTTTCACTTGTAATGTAAACAGTATTTTCTGATCTACATGTGTGGTTCACAACTAATTTACTCCTTTAAAACATAACAACTGTAGCTGATTGCTGATGGGCTGAAAGGTGGGTTTACAGAAAGGAGGGGAACTAATGTACTGTCAAAAGTCAACAGTAGTTTGGGCGAACAAGCTGTGGATCCATATTGATACATTCTTGCTGACACTTTGTAATTTAAGAAAAAAAATCATAAAGAATTGTTCAAGAAAGAAACAGAATATTCTTACGGTCTCATTTTAAAGTATAATGAAACGATGAAAAAAATGTTCTGAAAAGACTTGTAGCAACGTTCGGTTTTGCTTCATGTAATAAGGAACACAAATCAACAGAGAAAAATCTTACCTTCTCAATAAATGTGTTTATCTCAGGGCCTGCTTGGTTTGTTCCCTTCTTTAACTGTTTCTTGGCTTTGTTGACATCCTTCTCTACTCTCTTCCAGTCCACTTGGATGTAGCCACTGTTGTTAGCTATCTGGAGTCAGGAAGAGAGATTCACCAAAATGTTTTTTTTTTAAATCAGTTAAGATGTTTAACTTCTACGTGTTTATGCCCAGTGACTGAAATAATACCTGCAACATGAGAAGACCTCCCCCAACAGCTGTAGCTGCAACTTTACCAACTTTCTGGAACAGATAACCTGCACACCTAAAATGAAGGAATATAAAGCATGATGGTTAAACTAACATATATGATGACTTTAGCTGCCTTTACAATTATGACCATAAAAATTTCATGACAGCAAAAGGCCCAGTGGTTCAAGCATGACTAATACACAGTTTGGTGTGCACCTGCATGATTACACAATTTACGAGGAGAGTATGGAATTTCTTTTGGCATTTTAAGTTCATTAAAACATATACTAGGGCAGAGCGATTTAGAGAAAATATCTAATTGCAATTTTTCCAACAGATACTGCAACTGAAATCTGATTTGCTGTTTAATTTTAAACTTAAAGTCAAACATCCGCTTGTGTAATAGATTGAACACATGATTAAGCATTACCAAATGAGATACCATCAAAAACGTGACTGTTAAACAAGAAGTACGACATAAATTTGCAAAGTCGTTGACTGAACATTTCATATCTGCTGTGCAGAAAATGATTTGACTGCAGCTGATAAATTGTGTCTCTGTGTGCGACAGCTCACCCGTCTGAGGTAAAGAAACGTACACCCATTCCCTTCTCAAAGGATCAGGATCGATTGGGACCAGGGATAATTCATAGGCTACTTATAAGTAATTCATGAAGTTGCTGCTGTTCCATGTGTGTAAATGTGCAGGTGACGGTGCATGCAAACAGCTGGAGCAACAAACTTAACTTCAGCTCCTGCAAATGTAAATGTTTTGTAAAAACATGGATTTCATACATCATTGGTGAGTCTCATTAGTCTGTCCCTGTTTTTCCTCTGCAGTGAAGGATTAGTTTTAGTTTCACTTTTAAGCACTTGACTTTGCCTCTTTACTATGTGTCAACCTGTAAAGTCCAAAGTTAATGTCTTTCATGCTCTATTAGGTCTGGTAATAGGATAGCTGTTGAAAGTATTCAGACATAAAGCTGAATTGTTCAGATGACGTCAGATTAACAAAAAGGAGAGCTTGTCTGAAAGGGGATTTGGTGGAGTGTATGATTCGCCTCTTTTGGAATGAATAAGACACTTACAGTGTTTGTGATTTATGCTTTCTGGGTGCAACAAATACTTTCACTTACACAGCTGCATTTCTCTGTCTGAGACTTCGTTAATGTTAGGCCTGTAGTGTGAGTCCTTACATAACTACCTCATAGAAAACTCAGTGGGAGAGTTTTAAACAGGAGCACCTGAAGGCATATTAATGCATTTCAAGGACAAAACTCACCATCCACTCACTCCTCCTATGGCGATCTGTGTGGCCACAGAGTATTTCTCTGCTACGGGACCCGAGTTCTTCCCGAAGAGACGGTTCCACCATCGCTGTCGTTTGGCATATTCTGTCAGATCTACGACCTTGTCGTAAATCTCCTCTTCCAGTTCTTTAGAGAGGATAGAAACTGTTAGCATACATTAGCAACGAGAAGCTACCATAGACAATGCTATTATGAGGTAAACTGAGCAAGTACTGCCATTGTCATAAACTTAGCATAGGGTTTTATGGCCTGTTACTTGCACTATGTAACTGCATCAGTTCACATGTTTACGCTACAACAGTTTCAGTATGACAGAGGAAGCTAACGATAGCTTCATTACGAGCTACATTCAGAACTTAAGTAGGAGAAGTAAAGTTCTCGGGCCTGACAATAAGTTAGCATCACACAACTAAAGCTAGCGCTAGAAAAGTTAAAGCTAGCTACAAAGGCTGCCTCTGAACACATCCGTGTTTCTGTGAAACAGGAGTTGAAAGGATTTATACGTGTCATATGGAAGTATACAATATGTCTAACGCTGCGTACAGAATATTTCTGTGTCCATGCTCAAACAGAGATCTAATTAGTTCACAAGCCTGCTTACCCTTGTCGCGGTTCGCCATTTTGGAGAGCGCTGGTCTGTCCTCAGCTGCTGCACGTCCGGCGTCATTTACATAATTTAGACGATCTCAGTAAAAAGACACAGACACACACGGTATATTGTTGTTGTTGTTGTTGTTAATTATAATAATAATAATAATAATAAACAAAGCATTAAAGACTGACAGGGAATACAAAACTACATGGACAAGGGGAACGGAGGACTCGGTTCAGCAGCAATTTTGTTAACAACAACAACAACAACAACAACAACAATAATAATAATATGCCACATTTGCAAAAGCACAACAAAGGTCTGATTACTGCATAAAACAAAGTAAGCATAATTATCTGTTTTTTTTTTTTTTTTTTAACGAATAAACTGCAAGACCACAAACCATTTCAAGAGAGAAGAACCTATACTACTACTATATACTACTACTTCTAAACAAACTAATTTAATTCAATCTAATATTAACACAAAACACAAAACATCTAAGCATGTGTAGATTTGTGGTGCTCTTCAGTTCTCTGCATTAAGGGTGGTTGAGACATTTATGGACAAGTAAAAGTTTGGCTTCTAATTGAAGATATTTTCCAATTAAATATGGCACACGTAATATTGCCAACATAAATGTTCTATGGGTACAATTAAATTAATGAAACAACGGACTAACTTTAAAATAGTCCATTCCAAATGGGAAACAGTGACATAAAAGGTCAATTCATGATTATTTACACAGCAGTTACAAAAATAGCTGTTGAGCCATTTTTTTGTAAACTTACCAAACAATTTTAAACAATAAGTTGATATTAGATTTTGTTAACTTAGTAAAGTGGTTTCTATTCGTAAATGTATATATAGTTTTGTTTCACAGTATTTTTCTTACCTACCTTATAATATATAATATAATGATAATAATAATAACAACAACAACAATAATAATAATAATAATAACAATAATAATAATAACAACAAAGAATCACAGAGTAACAATTCTGTTGGACGATAAGCTAAACAATACATTATACAAATGTACCTGACAAATTTAAATTTTATGGTTGAGACCCAACAATACAATATCATGCAAATTAACCTGACTAATCTAAAAAAATAAAATAAAATAAAACAAAATAAAAAATAGTCTACAAATTTACACACAGAGAACCCAACAAATCCAAGCTTACCAAAATAGACAAATGAATAAATGATAATTGATTATATCGACTTTATTCTTGATTTTATTAGTTTCTAGAGAGGGATTGTGCTTTGACTTGTTGTTATGTTGTTTGTTTGAAACTTTATACAGCTTGCCTTGGTCATGACTTTTATGCAAAGGAGAGTTTTAAATGTAAGATTATAGTTTTCTAATTGATTGTTTTGCCATTATAGTTTATTGTTCATTATTAAGGAGCTTATTTTACGGTTTCTTTCTAACAGCATTAAATCTGTCTGTCTATCTATCTATCTATCTATCTATCTATCTATCTATCAAAAATACATGTGCAACGTTGCAACAAATATCCTTGACAGACGTGACAGCTCTTTTGGCCAATAGGTTTCCTTGAAACACGGTTACGTAATCATAATATAACGTGACGAGCCAATCACGGGACAGGGTCGGGACTTGGACGCACATTTGGTGTGTGCGTGCGCGCGTTCGTCCGCGTGTCCGCAACACATCAACTGGAGACCGTCATGTGACCGCAAACGCCGGCCGCTGATTGGTCGATGCGAACGGAGGGCGTGCCGACGGTGGCGGCGTGCGTTTGCCTATGTGACACAATTACAACAACTTTGAGCCGCTGGTTGGGGAAGTTTGCGATATTATCAAATAACACTCACTCCCGAAACCCAACATCACATCAACTTCATGCACAAATTGGCACCGGAATACACGCCGTGTTTTGCCGTACAATGAGGAGTGTGGAAGGTAACTTGAGGGGATCATTTCCTTGAGGATTTGGCAAGAATTACGCTACGCCCCGTTTTAATCCTGGATAGGTGTGCGACACTGCTACTGCATTTTCGCCGGAGTTGCTCGGTCCCGTTGATCTTGCCCGTCTCTTTCCCATGAAATCGTGCGGAGTGTCGCTCGCCGCCGCTGCCTCTGCTGCTGCTGCCCGGAGTCTCGGCGTTGCTGGTAATGACGAGGAGAAAATGGCGTCGGGAAAAGCGACCGAAATCGAAGAGGACTTTCCGAAGCTAACAGCGCAAGAGAAAGAGAGCCTGGTCGGAATTGACAGGTTAGCCGATCTATTGTTTGGGCACTCTCACCCGCCGCTTTTCTGCAATTTTTATTTGTCTTCGCCCAGTTTGAAACAACAAATGCCCCCCCGAAGTAATACGGAACCGCCTGTGTGTTGTCTGTCCTCTACTTGCAGTTCACTGTTTGGATTTCATAGGCTTCAAGAAGATGGCGCCAGAACGAAGGCCTTGCTGTTAAAGGTATGCCACAGAATGGGATCACAGTCGCCTCTGTCCGTTATCTCCTCTGATGAGTGCACCTGAAATAAGTGGTACAGACCTCCCGACACCGCTCCCGCTTATATGGCGAGCCGCGACGCACACAACAAGCCTCCATATCCCCTCTTCTTTGAACCTCACTGTAATACAGCCAGCTTTCAGTTATGGATTAATGCACACACCAGATACACGCACAGCGACAGGCATACATTAAGGCGACCCTGGTGCATTTTTTGGGGCATTGTTTAATGACATTTAACATTCCTAAACCGTAGCAGACACTACGTTGTGCTACGGTGAGATTGCAGGGCGATATGAATCTCCACCCTGCTAAAATCCGTGGTGGTCGTTCGTGTCATCGGTTGTGGAGAGAGTAGGCACCTTAATAGCACTATATGCACTCTTTAAAATGCACTTTTTGTTGCATAAATATCGCTATCGACACCCAAGAGGAAGCAGGCATGTGTGAAGCAAACACAATTTAAGTTAGAATTGCTAGCTTAATTTGCTGTACAGTCAATCAGCCGTTGCAAGCCCTTGCTTGCTACCTATCTAACTTATATTTGACTTGGAAATCTACGACGAGAGCCACATAATGCATTAAATGCTAAATTTGTGGAGAGGAGAGGCATTAAGTTGACGGAAATGTTGGTGTCAGACTAAAGCCTCCGTCCCGTCCTCCTCTGTAACGGCAGCCAGAGTTTGGCTTGTGCGTCAGCTCACTCTGCTAGCATGTAGCGGCTAACCGTGCAGCGGTTTTCCCCCCTCTTCCTCACTTGCACACGCAGCCACAACAGCACCACTTACATGACATTATCGATGATAAACAAATGCACATAGTTAATTTAGGGCTGCAAAATTAATAATGGCTGCTTCACTTGGCCCAAGATGGCGGGGGTGGAAAGAAAATACCTAGCAAAGGTTTGCTAGCTAACTAGCAGCGGCTAGGCTAACCAGCATTCGCATAAAAAGGTATCACGACGGAGGCGTTCAGGGTTTATAACAAAGCTTAATGCGGAAGACGGGGGATCCCACAAAGGTATCCGTGAGGGTTTTTGGTGCACACATGTCAACCGTGTTTATGCAGCCCATGTTACTACCGCCTGTGCTTCATCTGGGTCTTCAACATGTGGCTCCTCGGGTTCTTGTTGAAGGGAGAGCTGGGAACAATGTTTTGTTAGGGTGTATTTTCAGATTAGGCCCTGCCACACACTTAGTTTTAGGCTTTTCTTTTGTTGCTGTCCTTCATGGTCTGTTGGATACCTGCACAGCCAGACAGGGCAATCTACATCAGACTATTAAACTTTAAAAGATCTAGATTGTGGGATTTCTCCTCTTGATACCATCACATGTGTAAGGCTGCATCTCTTTCACCCTCTGAACTCCAAGCAGCTTCTGGGTGTTTTTTTTTTTTTGTTCCTGTGACATTTTTTCATCCCCCCCATTACAAAATCCCGAACCTCTATGAAAACTGCACAACTTAAAAAAAAAAGACTTTCATTGATTATTTATTTGGCAAAAATCTGAAATCATGTCTAATTTTTAAGTGGCTGCAGGTGTTACCAATAATCGAAAAATTATTGACTCTACCAACTGTAGATATTTTCCTACTTATGTTTCTATCTTGTTCCAATATGTGTCTCCTACCTGCTCTGTGCATCACATTCTGCAGTTCAGCCCAGATCAACTTGAAGGTCCCAGAATGGTTGTGATGGGACTGTTGGTTGCAGCTTAGTCAGTAATAACCTTGCATTTTTAGACGAGTAACTTTCTCTACTTGTCTCCTCAATGCTTTCTGTAAACACAGCTTGCAGTTTAGCCATAAAACTCTAAAGATTAGTCTAAAAACACCAAGTTCTTGTCATGTGACTGTTGCCGCTCAGTCAGCCATGGCTTCATGGTTGGACCAAGGAGCGCAGAATTATTTATTTATTTATTTAACCAAATCTGCTTAGGGCAAACTTTATTTTTGTTTTAAATGACACATATAAAATAAATAGATTTAGGAGAAATGCCATGATTTTAAGCTTAGATTTGGTTTTGAAAATGCATGACACGGACAAGAAGGTCAGAGACTGTTGGAAAATTAAAAATCTTGTCATTCTCTCTGTTTTTACAGTTTCTTATAAATGTCGGCATTTCTGTGGGTGCAGAGGGTTAAACACTGAACAAAAATAGAAATGCAGCATGCGCATGGTCTTTTTTCTGACTTGGAGAAAAGGTTAAAAAAAAAACACGTCTTTTTTTTTTTTTTTTTTTAAACTAAGAAATGATTAAACTTGCACAAAAAGTTTGTGTTTTTTTATACAGACACTCCTTTTATTATTTTTTATAAAAAGCCACCTGACATGATGCTACAGATGACAACAGAAAGCCGAGAACATGCTGTTGGCTTGTTGGTTTGGGCTGTAGCCAGACTCTTGAATGTCCACAACTCCATCATTTCTTGAATAAGAAATAGTTGGGAAGGCTCTGGATGGACATGTCTGACAATATGATCCCGTTCCCCAAAATGTCCACCAACTTTGCAGATTCCACAAGCAGCATCGGTAACCTCATTAATTCTGTACATTGCAAATGTGTGGCCCGATGCAATGCAAGTGGTTACTGACTTGT